TGTTCCATCATTAAATCAAATGTTCCACAGCATAAACAAATGTAACACATCTTAAAATAATATTTCACAACAGAGCAGGTATGGTGATATTTTATTTGTACTGAAATGTGATTTTATTTGTATGTTGATAAATAAAGTTGTGTTTCAATATTATTTCCTTCTTGGGTCTCTGAGGGAGTTGAAGATTAGTTAGTTATAGTTGAAGATTAGATAGTTATATTTAAGTTTAGATAGTTATAGTTTCCTTGTTAAAAATTTCATAAAAGAAACTCACTAAAGAGGTGTAAGTGTATAAATCTGAAAGACGTTATAAGATAGTTCTGTTAGTAATATAAGTTAGGATAGAAATAATCAGGTACATTTTGGACTTACCAAAATAGGATAGATAATGGAATTATTTTCTCTGAATTTGTCAAATGCAAATCGACTAGACATTGTTTAGGTGTTTATTGCTTATATATACGGTATATAGTTATTGTACTTTTGTATGCAGTGTTTCTTATATTAGTTATAACTTTTTTCCTTTTTTCTTTTTATTAAAATAGAAAAGGGGAAATATGGTGATATTTTATTTGTACTGAAATGTGATTTTATTTGTGTGTTAATAAATAAAGTTGCCTGGGGGTCAGAGCTAATAGCAAACCATAGCAGAAGCCAGGCGGTGGTGGCACAGGCCTTTAATCCCAGCACTTGGGAGGCAGAGCCAGGTGGATATCTGTGTATTCAAGGATACAGCCAGCATGGAGACACACGCCTTTAATCTCAATACCAACCATAGAAGACCTGGAGGTGTTATAGACAGACAGTGACAAGGAGGTCATGTGGTTGGGTTTACAACCAATGAGAAGGCAGAACAGAAAGTCAATAAAAGGACAGACACACAGGAAGTAGGTCTCTTGCTGAGGGGAAGGACAGCAGCGGCAGCGAAGGGTAAGAAAGGGTTTTTAGCTCTTAGCTACTGCTCTGACCTCTTGGGCTCTCAACTTGGCATTTGGCTCTGTGTTTCTATTTTACTAAGACGGATACATCTACAAGCAGGCTTTGGCTAATGCTCATACTTGAACACCCACAAAGTTCCTGATTCTGTTTGTCATATCCTTTCTCAGGGAATTACTAACAGATTTGTGGAACACAAATTCAGAATCCTAACTCAGATTCCTTGCACATGCAAGGGAGAGAGCGCCAGTGCTGTGTTCAGCCCCAGGTGTGGAATACTGAACCCACAGGAGGAGAGAGCTTCTGCATGGAGTCTGGAGTCTGATGCCTGTGTTGTTTTAGGTGTGGGGAGAAGAGACTCCCACGTGACCGCAATCCTAAATGCATATGTATCTTACCTAACCCTCTTTACAAAATAGGTTCAAATACACAGGGTCCACTTTCCTATTCAAGGGGTTCTTAGAAGCAAACAATCTTCATAATTTAAAAACTGGAAAAGGGAAATAAGAAGAATGAAGCATTCCTAACAACAGTTTACCAAGAACGTTCCAATCACAAACCCAGTAGCACAGTCTCCTTACAAACAAGGTCAGGCTGGAGCCCATTGCCCACTCTCTTGATCAATATCCTTCACAGGCAGTTGGTACCATCATGCTTACAAAGAGGGAAATCTCCTCCCTGCCCCCCATAAACTGCTGGGTATCCTGATATATCAACCCAAATCCTCTCTCTATTACCTAGGCTTTTAAAAAACTGGTCCCTAGAGTCTCGTATCTGAGGCCCACATCTCTGTGCTTTAGAAAGAGAAAACTCTCCTGTCACAGCCATATGGAAAAGCATGGAGTGTGCAGGAAGCTTAAAGTTTCAGAAATTGACAAACTATTAAAGTGAGTGATAGAGGGATCAGAGAAGGGTGTAATGGATGACTATCCAGGCAGTAAGACCTGAATGGGGGAGGAGGCAAGGGATGCTGATAACTGCAGCAAAGCTAGGCTGCCAGAGAGAAGAGAAAGCATGCAGGGTTTGGAGTTCCAGAATAAGGGACTGAAAGCTTGGATTCTGGCTTCACTTCTGTCGCTGTGACAAATTCCCTGGCCAGAAGCTGAATAAGGGGGAAAGAGATTGGAATACTATCACAGGTTAGGGTCTGTCATTCTGGGGAAGTCAAGGCAGGGACTTAAGAGACTGGTCACATCACATACACAGCCAGGAGCAGAAAGGTGCAAATGCATCCATGCTGCCTGCTTGCTGCTTCTAGTCCCCGTAGTTTTCTCTCACACCTTCTCATGTTGATTGAAAACAGCCTTGCAAGCAGCCAACCTAGTGTACATAATTCCTTGTAGAGACTGCCTTCCCAGGTGATTCTAGGTCCTGTCAAGACGATGATTAAAACTAACCAGCAGAGGGCACTGTGTGACATTAGATTGTATCTGGTGCAAATGTGCCCATGAGTCTGCAGTGAGGACAATTAATCCTCCCTAGTGTCTCTTCCCAAGCTTGCCTCACTAGACCTGAATTCCATTTGCTGCAGTCACATGCATCAGGCCTCCACTTTGCTGCTGCTACACTCTTGGAATGTTCCATCATCTTTTCTCATCCATCTGCCCCAGGGTGCTTTCCAGGAAGCTGAAGTTAAATACTTACTGCTTTCCATAGCATATTGAGTGGGGCCGGGGGCCTGTCCCCTGACTGCCATTATTCATTGCTAAAACTGACAGTATATACTTCCCTCATCCAGCAGGAATACTGCCTCACTTAGCACCTGACCTTCTCAGGACACTGTGCACCTTGTACCTAGAGTCACATTTTTCTCTCTACTAGACAGTAAGTCTAGATCAGGGTTGGAGCTCTGGGACAGGGCCCCAAGTTCACCATCAAATACATTTTCTTAGATTTCATACTTCTTTTCCATCAGATTGCATCTCTTTAAAATTAAAGCTCATATCCAGACTGAGTAGGAAAGGGGGGGACGGGTTGTTATCCAGACGATTCTAAGACCTTATGCTTGTCAGGCTAGATGCACAAACCAGGTCACTCTCCTTCATTTCCACTCACCCTGGTTAGACCTTGGGATTCTGCTTTCCCCTGAGGAAATGGACCAGTGAATTCAATGAGGAATTTAAGTTGGCAGAAATCAAGATTGAAGATCCTTTCTCCTACCCCACCATAGCCTTTCCTTCTGAGCTAATGGAACAGGCTTGTAGAAGGTGTTCAGTTTACCCAGGGCTCATGGACACTCACTGTGGACAAGCTGCCTGGGGTGTATGAGCTGCAGTCCTCAGCTGCCCACAACCTGGGGGCCAGGTGAGAGCTCTTACTTGTGTCCTTGTGGGTGGAGCCTGAGCATCTCCTCTCCCTCTTATAGAGTGAATGCTGAAGCTACATCCTTAGTGAGTGTCCTCTCAAAGAACTGATGGATGAGGAGTCAAAACAGAAACATGTAACCTATTGTGGCTAGAAATTGTCCTTGGAATTTACTTTTATTCTCAGAAACAGGTGACTCTTCCTTATTTACCATAGAACACTGTCCAGTGAGCCGAACTGGGGCTCTCTCGTTCTGGCAGGGGTAAAGGAAGCAGAACTGGCTGACAAAGTCAGAGCGTCCACTTCCAGATGACCCCTTGCTAATGTGAAACCAAGTGGGGCTTCCTAGGCTATAAATGGCCTGCTTGAAAATGGTGCTTGTTTCTGTCTCCTGATATTGTAGTAACCAGGAAAACACTCTTAGGTTTGGTTTGCTGTAGAGAACTTCAGCATGGTTTTATCTCCTGATCCTCGTACAGGAGCTCAGTCCCAATCAATGTCATCTTATGAACATTAATCAATGTGGGGTGAGAAAGAAGTTTTGATGCTGGATGAGACTTTCATGTTGTCTGTGATACCAAAAGGCAGGTGAATTACTACCCAGTTGTGACAAGAGACAGTTTTCTTTCCTCTATACTGTGTCCCCACAGCTCCCTCAGGTTTATGATGTCTGGTTGAGCAGACAGGGACTCTTTCAACTGTGGGGTCTGTAGTAAGCTACTGACCCTGTTATCTTGTAAGGCTTCAAACCTGTCCTGACTGGCTTCCTCTGCCTAGGGAAGCTGAGGGATGAGAGGGGAAGGAAAGATGCTAAGGCTATAGAAGGACCTGGTCATAAGAGATTGGGAAACTGAGGATGAGAGGAGAGGCAGCTACATTTAGAGGTAGGGATAGCAGACTTTCACATCATAGATTCAGGAGGAGGTACATTTGGGGGAATTCATTACAAGGAGACTCTCAGATCATCTCTGATGTCCAGGACCATTTGTCACAGAACTCACAGCCTCCTGGGTACCTAACAATGTTTGTCCTGGTTATAGAGAGCTCAATGTATATTTGGTAAGAAGGGTAAGAAGGAGGGAGACCAAGGGAGGCAAGACTCTTCCCTGGAGGAACAGACTATGTTTCAAGGCTGTGCTGTACCCACTGACAACCAGTGTGAGCTCCACCATTCAGTGGGAGGAAGTGGGTTTGAATATCCTAAGACCATGAGCAAGATGTTGTCTGTGACCTGATGATGCTGAACTGAGGCACTCCAGGTCAATCATCTAGTCCATGCTTGGGCCCACCTCCATGGGAGTGACATTCTGTTTCTGTTCTGACTATGGCCTTAATTGGATATAGAAAGGAAAGCTGGAATCAAGATTCACCAAACCAACCTTCTCTGGATTAGGCATGAAACCTTTTTATTGTTCTTTCTTTGAGCTTCATGAAGCAATGGGAATTTTCTCAGACAAGCAATGCTTTGGGACTGTGAGAGGGGAAGTGGAAACACTGATGAAATTCTAAGTTACAAGAGGCTCTGGGCAGTTCAGCCCCAGAAACTGAGCCTTTATTCATAGCAGCTGAGGCACAGCCTGTGTGTCTCTGGGCAAGTGCTCAAGGCAAAATTTTGGGACTGGGTCAGTGACTGGCAAGGCTTTGGTGACCAGAAGACAAGTTGGCCAGTGTGTCAAAGGGAAGTGTAGGAGTTGGGTTGTATCTTAGATCCTTTTTGGAGTATCTGACAACTTCAGAGCCATGTCTCTGCCATGGTCACATCACTGAGTCTTTGTGTTTAGTGTTCCCTTGTGCTGCTCCACTAGTGACCCGATCCACTGCGAAGTTTTCTGTCTGGCATCCTTCCAGCTGACAGGTGGCTCATAGCCCAGATCTCGCTGAGCTTTCTTGTGGGAGAAGGTGAACACACTATTTACCACTGTGACCATAAAGCGGTTAAAAGGAGGCTGGTAGTTGTAGATGGGACGCAGCAGGAAGCTCACAGTTTCCAACAGGAAGGCAAGCCAGTAGACCATGGGCAGAGGAAGGCTCCAACTGGAACCAAGGCGGAGGCCCCAGTCCTTGCTCAGGACATAATATAAATCATCATAGCTTTGGTGAGGGGTGTCATCTGAGATGTAGTAGAACTGACCTTGGATATTTGGTGACTTCTTGGGGTCTCGTAGGCCCCTGGCTGCCAGAATGTGTGCCCAGGCTGCATTAGTCACAAACACTGGGCTGATCACAGAGAATTTGCCCAAACTGTCAAGTATGCCATTGTTCTTGAGTGCTCTATTCACTGCATATGAAACGTGTTGACTCCCTTCCCCATAGATGAATGGGAGTCTTAAGGCACAAGTACGCAAAGTGCCACCATCTTTCAGGCTGCTCCCATTGGCTGCCAGCACTGCCTTCTCTGCCATCTTTTTGCTGTATGGGTAGGGATGAGACCATGTGCTTTCATGATGGTCTTCCTCGCAGCCATTCTGGATGATCTCCTTGTAGGAGTTTGGTCCAGCCACAGACACTGAGCTGCTGTAGATGAAGACCGGGACACTGGCTTCCACACAAGCATCCAACAGGAGCTGAGTACCTGAGCATGGGAAGTTCACCATTACTGGTAGGAAAGAAGCTCAAGGGTCCACTGTGGAGTCAGAGTCAACCCCACCTCAACCCCAATGGAAGGGCTACTACAGATCTAAACACATTCTTACCTGATCCTGACTCAAACTGCCATTCTATAGCCACAGAATAACCCCCAAATTAAAAGAGGCGACATTTAGATTCTGAAAAACAGGGATTTCTAGGTTTCTGAGTTTATAGAGCTCTCTCTTTCCTTTTCTCTGTCTCTCCCCATCTCTCTATCTCTGTCTTTCTCTTTCTCTCTCTGTTTGAATATAATTATTTTTCTTTTCAGTGTTGGGATTACACCTAGGCTCTTCCACATGGTAGACTAGGCCCATCCCACTGAACCTCTGTCCCAGTTAGCTTTCTGTTGCTGTGATAACCACATGACCAAAGGAACGTGGGGAGGTGTAGCTAGGGTTTTCCTGCCTGGCCCACAGTCAGGATAAATCTCTGTCACCGGCCAGTCCCACAACCGCTCAAACCCGACCAAGTAAACACAGAGACTTATATTGGTTTCAAACTGTATGGCCGTGGCAGGCTTCTTGCTAACTGTTCTTACAGCTTAAATTAATCCATTTTTATTAATCTATACCTTGTCACGTGGCTTGTGGCTTACCGGTACTTTACATCTTCCTTGTCCTGATGGCGGCTGGCAATGTCTCTCTCATTCAGTCTTCCACTTCCCAGCTTTATTCTCCTCCTTGTCCCGCCTATACTTCCTGCCTGGCCACTGACCAATCAGTGATTTATTTATTGACCAATCAGCAACACATTTGACATACAGACCATCCCACAGCAGGGAGGGAACAGTTTCTATGGCTTCTATGTTCCCATCGCAGTGTCTCAATAAGGAAAGTCACCCAGGAACAAAGGCAGGGACCATGGAGGAATGTTCTTTACTGCTTTGCTTCCCATGTGCTCAGCTTGTTTACCTGTATAACTCAGGACCCCCTGCCTAGGGGTAACACACCCCACATTGAGCCGGGCCCTCCCATATCCATCACTGATCCAGAAAATAACCCACAGATATAACCCCTGGCCAATCTGATGGGAGCATTTCTTAGCTGAGGTTCCCTCTTTTCAGGTTACTACTGTGAATCAGAAAAACAGCATTTTTATTCTGGAAAGTACTTCCCTTGATTTTTATTCTGGGAAATTATTCCTTTATGCTGTCTAGAAACTGACATCAATAAATTCCCATTAAATTGAGGATGTTGCTCAGTTATTGAGCCTTTGCACTGTGTGCAAGGTTTGATCCCTGAGACAATAAAAAAATTCAAAAAGGCTTCTTCCCCAAATAAAAGTGAAGAGTCACTTATTTTCATGTATTTCTTTTCATTAAGATACCATAGTCTCAGAACTAGTTCAGAATTTACAGCATGCCTGCTCAGGTATAGTACAAAGGCAATATGTCTTTATCTTATTTTATTTTATCTTATTTTTCAGATAGACTTTTATTCCTATGCAGTCCAGACTGGGCTCCAAGGTATAATAATCCTGACTCAGCCACCTGAGTGCTGGTATTACAAATGGGCACCACTATGTCTAGGCACGCAGTATACACTTATAACTAGGCATTAAAGGCTGATATTTTTTCTCCTTTAGTTAAGACTAACACGGAACTGAGAATCTGAGTATTTACACACCAATGTGCAGGGCAGGGTGTGAGAGAAGTAACCAGGTAGAAGTAATAGAGATACTTTTGAGTTGGGAATGGCCATCACCAAATAATTAGTTGATTTGGTAAAGGAGCCCAAGTCACTAAATTTGGAGGTCATGTGGAGGATACATGCCAGACAGGACCTTGGAAAACCATGATACTAAGAAGACTCACTTTTTGTGCATGTTCAGTGTGATCATATTATATAGTAAAGTCCTTTACTAAAGTATATTGCAAATCTACTTTCCGAGGACTAAGCATTTAGGTATGAGGATCTAAGGAGGAGTCTATCTGCCTTGGCTAGGATGAGTCTTCAAGAGTGGACTAACACTAATATAAAGAGATGGCCTTGTAAAAATTGGAAAACTGTTGTTAAGAAAACAAGTGCTGGATCATTCTTCCTGGTAGACCCCTGTGGAGTGGCTTTGATGGCTCTCTACAGAGGAAAGGTCAGGGTCTGGTCCAGAGAGGCAGTGGATGGATGAACATCAAGCATTTGGAGATGAAGTCCACTCACTATGGCATGGAGGAGCAGGAGAACTTTCCTGGCTTTTGGAGTGTCCTGGGTGTGGCTTTGTCTTTTCTCTCCTTATGACTACCTGTGGGGCCTCTGTTCCCTCCTCTCTCAGCACAATCTCTTCTTCTAAACATCAAGGACAACCGCCCTGAGTTCTGCTAGCTGGGCTGACAAGCAGAGGCATCTGATAGACCCAGAGCACAGCAGGTGTTCCATGGCTGGCACTTCCCTTCCTGTCCTCATGCTATTTGACCATTCTGATTTTCCACTCTCTCCATATCCTCCAGAGGCATTGTACCTTTCAGGTTGATATCCAGGACGGTCTGTCTGGGAATGGCACCAAAGATGTCAAGGGAGGCAGCGGTGTGGATGACAACAGAGACACCCTGGCAGGCTCTCCTCAGGCACTGGGCATCCAGAATGTCTCCCTTCAGCACTGTGACCTTGGATTTTGTCTGCAGCTCTGAGGAACACAAAGCAGGTCATTGGGAAGCTTTCTGCACAGGATGGATGTTTCCTGACACAGTATCAGTGACCTAGGTCTTCAAGGGCAGTCAGAGTGAGAAGATCCTGGGAATGAGGCCTTTGTACTGAAGGAACAATAAATGCTCAATAATCAGAATGTATCATTTGTAGGGAAGGAGGAAGCATCTGTGTCCACCCCTCCCTTTGTAGAAAATGAATCTGAGCAGTGAGATATGATTTGTGCTTTGCACATAAAAACAGAGTTATGGGAATTCATACAGTGATTAAAGCAACCAGAGATGGGATGGTCGTCCAATGTAAAGAGGGAGAACTAGGATTTAATTGATAGAGCATTATGGGGGACCAGGCCCCCACTTTTATGACCAGGGTAGTCTTGAGCATGGAAAAGTGGGAAATATTTAGATAGAAAGGGATACCTAGATGAAGAGAAGAAAGACAGAAACACAGGCTAGCCTCGGAAAGACCTGGGTCAAAACTCACCAGCCCAGAACATTATTCAAAAGGGATGTTTTTAACAATGACAATGGGTGAGATGAAAGACCTCCCCTTTGCTAGATACAGCCAAGTGAAGACCCTTCCAAACATTCTGTACTCAGTCCCATGGTCCAATCATCATCTTATGCAGATCTGCTGGGGAAAGCTACTAGGAAACCTCGGTGGGCTCTAACAGAGAATGGGGAATCACTTGTGGATTTTCGCTGAAGGAGAAAAAGAGGCAGAGTCTTGCCCTGGGAAGTTGTAACAGAACTCTCAGTTTGCAAATTGACAGGCATGAAGACATAAGAATAACCTGGGCAAGCAACAGGTTAATCAGATTGTGTCCTCCAGAGTTCCAGTGAGGAGGACCCAGAAGAAGGAGACACGAAGATGGAAAACTGAGCTTTGCCCCTGATAGGTCTTGATACGTTCTGAGTCTGGGCTGAGCACAAATGAAGAGTGAGCTCAATTACAAAGAGGCAACTGGAGCCCCAGGGAGAGAACTCAGAATGGGCTCCTGTGATGGGTTTAGCTGAGCATTTCTTATTGGACAGATACATTGTAAATGAGGAAACCCCCAAGGGACCATACTACATCCAGGGGCAATGGATAGCTTCAGGTTCCTCTCAAATTTATAGAATAATACTAGCTAGCAATCACAATGTCACCCAAATTAGTTCACAAAATTGATGGTGTGGCAAATGCAGCCTGTATCAATACCCCACACTGGCTCAAACTTCATAATTTACACATGACTTTCTCAGTTTGCTATCTCCTTTCCCAGCTATGTCATGAACTTAGGATTCTAGTGTCCTTGGTATAGTTTGGGGAAAGTGCAGAAAGCTCCAGGGACATGTCTAAGGACACACATCTTTCCAGTGAAGGCTCTATTGTCCCTCTGCCTCCATCCAATCCATTCTCACTTCTCTATGCACTCTAAGATCAAGACTCATTCAGAATCAACTCTTTTGAGACATCATGTCAACTAAATTTGCAATGAATGCCAAAGAATACTTTGATAGAGGCAGAAGTAGAAATCCAGAGCTGGAGAAATCCTTCTTGGGACAGATTACAACCTCCCCTGAATGTGTCTACTGTAGTCCACCTCTCCCCTGTCAGGGAACTCCAGGAAGGCCTTGACGTAGAGGATGAAGGGTAAAAGCCTTCTGGGAAGGCAGCAGGTACCAGGATGGGAGTCTCTTTCTGTGTGATTTCTCCTCCACTCTTCTTAGTAGCTGACTTTAGACAGACAGGGTCAGAAAACTTGCTGTGACAGAGCAGGAGGAGCCCAGATACAGGACCAAGTAGACTCACACATCTGTTCTTTGGGGGGTCCTGAGATACCAGGAGGTGACATCTTTGTGCTTTGTGGTAGAGCCACATCTCTCACCTTGTCCAAGACACCATGGACTTGGCAGTTGTTCTTCACTGCCACATCATAGAGCTGATGCTGTGCTGTGAGCTGCAGTAGGAGATCCAGAGAGAAGCTACCACACTCCAGCCTTTGAAAGGACAGAGGCTACCACCAGACCTCCTGGACCCCTACTCTTCTCTGTCTTATATTAGTTGCAGGATCTTCGGGAAGTCAGTTAACATCTATGTTGTCTCTTTGTCTATAGAATCAGAAGACAAAGTTCCCTTTGTTTTGAGATCTCATGGGGATGGGAAAATAAGTAGTTTCCACCATCGAGATGTCTCTGATTTATAGGACACCAGAAGGATTCTCTACTCTGAGAGGAGGGAGTCTCAGCTGAGAAATTACCTCAGTATGATCAGGTGGCAGGCAAGCCCGTTGGGCATTTTCTTTTTTTCTTTTTTTTTAAACAAAAGCCACACACCTTTACATAGATAAACAAATGCAGCATAAATCAATGAAAAACATTTTCACACAGTTAAACAAATATTGTATTCCATAACAAGAAACAGATGTGAGTTCCTCTTTTGAAAGCCTCTGCAAAATGTGCTAGGAAACCATCTGCTGGTACCTGATGGTCAGAAACTTCCTTCTCCTTACAATCTTGTGTGTCACTCAGCCTGTACAGCACCTGACAAAGAAAACGATGCTGCTTCTGCACTAAAATGTGAGGATTGGTATATGTAAATGGATTTATATAATGCTCATCGTGTGTGTGTGTGTGTGTGTGTGTGTGTGTGTGTGTGTGTGTGTGTGTGTGAATAGATAAATTATACATTTCACTTTCCTAAAAAATTACCTATTTCAGCTCCTCACATTTCTTTGAGGTAGATAATCCCAGACAAAATTTTAAAAAAAGATAGTGAAGCTTGCTGCACATGTCTTAGGAACACTGGCTCAGTTACAGAGACGGTGTTGGAAGTACAGAGTATTCTTTAACTTCCTCAAGATGGGTTTATTATCATCAAGTTCACAATGGTGATGTCTTATGAAACAATCAGGATATTTTCTTTTTTACCCTCTTGACATGTAACTTAAAACACAGAAAAGAGATGGGAGTTCCAGACGTAACAATTTATACATTACAGAATGAAGTAACATAAGAACTTAATAATTTTTAATTACATACAATGCACATCCTACCAAAATCATATAAACCAATCATTATATTAGGTATATATCCATACAGAATGACATATAATACATCAGCATATAATAATATGTGAACTAATATAATAGTGGATATATTCATGGCTATCCCAATGTATTTCTAAAACGAATATTACAGTTATGATGGGACAGTTTCTGTGGCAACAGAGTGGGCTTTTTAAATTAAAGCTGGCAAAAATGTTTACTAACATTTGATAACAGAGTTTATTAAATAGGATTCCTCCAAATATGAACATGTTCATTTATTGCATAAATATTTAGGGATCACACTTGCTGAAAATTCTACAGCTTTCCCTCTCTTGCATAGAGCTTTTTCTTTGCAGTCTTAGTATTACCCCATTAGCTGAGTTGTTAGTTTTTGTTCACCCTCTCTAGTCTGTCCTCTTAATGAAATACCACATGCTATATATTAATTGTGCATCTGCTTTAAATCATTAATTGACTCCCATTGTTATGTATTTGGTAAATACTTGGCCAGTGACCAAATGTTTTTCCTGTAGTGTGTGTACACATCCATCCCCAAAGTTGCTATGACCTTCCTTTGCACATGCACTCTGGGTTCATCCTAGTACCTTTCATTCTCCTCAAATATATGGCTAGATTTTCTAGAGACTTATTCGTCTCTACCATTAGTAACAGTGAGTATAGTTATTATAAAAGTAGGAATCCCAATTTAATTTTTTCTAAACTATTAGTACTCAAAGCATTATGACTGGCATCTTGGTGCTCAGATTCTTGGGCAACACTTGAGTCTCTGTTTAGCCATGTGATGGTAAACAGCTACTAAAGTCTCAGTTTTACTGTTTGTAAAATATGAGTATTAATTTACCTTATAACAGAATTATATGGTAACTCATGACTTCTAATAGTGTCCAGTCTAATACAGGAGACAGACAGATGGAGCAACTCGGATTTATTGTAGATGCTGTACAGCACCTTCAGATAGATCCGACTTTGGTGTTGGATAGATTTCTCTCAGATTGTATACAACCTGTGTCTGTTTCATCCGTTCATTTGTCATTTGAGAAAAAAAATGGAATGACATATATTCTTTGTAATGAGAATGTAGCTCATAGTGACAAGGCCTTCCTTGGCCTGTCTGTTTAAGCAGAACTCCTCACCCCTCCTTTCCAGTCTGTTGACTCTGTTGTCTTTACACCCCTCCTTGTTCTTCTCTCTACCTAACACAAAGGCATCTGGCATCCTTCGCATTTAGGGCATTTGTTTCTTTTATATCTTTAAATGGTAGAATGCAAGCTTCACTTGAACAGGTACTCATGAATACCAACCTCCTGTAAGGTCCTGTTGCGTATTTTCATCATTAGTGATGAATGTGGGTGGCACCATCTCAAGAAAGCAGGCTAAGAAGCCATGAGAGCAAATCAGTAAACACCTCCTTTCATGGCCCCTGTATCAGCTCCTGCCTGCAGGTTCCTGCCCTGTGTAAGTCCCTGTCCTCATTTCCTTTGGATGATGAAGAGTGATATGGAAGCTCAAGCCAAATAAACACTTTCCTCCCCAAGTTGTTTTTGGTCATGGTGCGTCCTCACATTAATAGTAATCATTACCAAGATTCTTTAGCTTATTTATTTCTTTGTTTGCTGGTTTGGAGACAGGGTGACTAGGTTATTTGTAAGGAAGTTAAAGTAGTAAAACATGAAGCAGAAATTTACGGTTTATTTTGGCATTTTGTGTATTAACAAAGGATTTCTGAGGATAAATATAAAATAGGAAAATGTGTTGAGAAGAAGGCAGAAGTAGTGTTTTTGTTTTTGTTTTTGTTTGGTTTGGTTGTTTGGTTTTGTTTGCTTAGTTGTTTCCCTAAAGATAATGATAGTCCCAAATTAGGAAAGAGAGATAAGACCCAGAATGAAGGAAACAATTGGAAGGGTGTGAATGGATGGAGAAAACTGCAAAATGATTTCAGAAAGGCACAGGACTTCTTGTAGGAGGCACAGAGGTCCTCATGCCCACAGATGAGCACTAGGGGAACCTGGAATGTTAGCATACAGAGTTGTTCCTTCAAGGAAAGGGATGCATAACCAGTTGTCTGTTCAGAACACTGGAAGCATATATGCATTCTAGCCTGGCCACCTTTATACAACCTGTGTGTCTGGAAATCACACTGGACTCTACCCTAGACTTTTCTCAATCCATAGAACCTATCTTTATGGAAGGCATCACGTGTACTTGTCATGTCTGATAGTTATTTAGCATAATTTGTTTCTTAAGGTTTATATGTGCTTTATTGTGCACATGGTATTGAGTTAATTATCACCAGGAAAGTTTTTGCTGAATTCTGCTGTGCTTAAATACAGCAAGATTAAACCATTCAGTGTCAGAATCCAGAAACTGGAACCAACACCAGCTACTTAGTGGTATTGAACTACCTTCTTGCCTCCCAGGAACTGTTACCTATTAGCATTGGTGCTCAAAGAGACCCCTGAAACTTCAGGGAAGATGCACATGAGATCAAATAGACAATGAACAGATATCAAGGAATATTAGCACCTGCATAACCTTTGATTCTCCATGTTCATATTGGGGAGTTTTCCCAATAAACAAAAAGCATAGGGTTCAATAATCAATACAGGGAAGAGCAAAACCAACATAGGTTTCTTTCATCTGATCTTAATAGAGAACTGTGGCCCCTCCCCCACCTCTTTGGTACAGGTAGGCCATCTATATTCTGACATCTCCTGCGTCTTTATTTTTTTTTTTTTGGTGATTTTTTTTGTGTTGTTTTGTAATTTTTACTAAGTACTTCAACATTTCATATATTTTACAAACTAAAAATGCAATGCTTTTCATGTACTACTCACTTTGGGATTTCAGAAGCTCCTGGAATTCCAAAGGATCTACATGTTAGACCTGTATTTTTAAATATGCATTTATATATGTCCCAAGGTTATATAAGATCTCCAGAAATCTGATATGTTTGAATGCATGTTTTGTTATCAGTGTTTTTCCTTTTATTTTCCCCTGAGCTAAGGACAGAACCCAGGGCCTTGTGCTTGCTAGGCAATCGCTCTACCACTGAGCTAAATCCCCAACCCCTGTTATCAGTGTTTTCATAGTATAACATTGCTACATGCTTAAAAATTTAAAAAAAAATAGTTTTTTTTCTTCCTTAAGGGATAAAATGGAATTGTATTAAAAATTTTGTTTTAGCTCTTAACTATAATGCAAATGGAATTTGTTTGGTTCTTATTAGGTTTGTGTGTGTGTGTGTGTGTGTGTGTGTGTGTGTGTGTGTGTGTGTGTCTTCCTTTAAAATTGCTCTCCTTCATTTTAAAAAAAAACAGCCAAGGGATTTGGGTATGGCTAAAAATCTGTTGAGTTTACTATGTTCCCTGTGTCTTGGTGCAATCTCAGCTGTTACTGTTGCAACCATCTGCCTGGGCTCTGAATTTGCCTCTGGGATTTCTGGCCACTGAATCTAGTGTAATAACAGAGATTTGTATGTCATTGCATTATAAATAATATTAAAGTTCTTTTATGCTATTCTACTTTATTAAAAAAAAAGCTGAGGGAGTCTAGCATGGTTAAAAATCTGTAACAAAAATTAACTTAAAACTTGGAACTCTAAACTGGAGCTGCTCTGGGAAACAACACATGGTTCTCCACCATCTAAACTAAACGAAGGACAGTTAGGAGGCTGGCAGCCATCTCTGCTAGGGCTGGAGAACAGGGGGGTCATGTGACTTCATTGCCATCTTAACAAAAGGTGACCACATGGAGTGGGCCTACCAAGGAGGCAACAACAGGTGTCCAAGATATTTTAGATTAGGATGTATTTTTGTATAATTCCTGTCCTATCCTGAAAATAAGGTTTAAGGAAAATAGGATGTGAAACAATGCTAATTTAATGAGGTATTAAAGCAAGGAGGTTAGATATACATTCCTAACTCTGTCTCTGTTGGCCTGAACAGGTTGAACTCTAGGTAAAGAGAGAGCCTTTGCCAGACTGCTTACATTTTTCTCTTAGTGGCATATCTTGGCAGGGCCCACTGATATACACCCACATCACCCTTTTTGTTTGTTTTAAGATGCTCTGAATGGGCAGGGTTTGGAGAGAGAGACAGGAATGGGGCTTCCAGACCATGCAGGGATGAGATGGAAGTCCCAGCTGAAAAGAAGACCCTTGCAACTGTTGCTTGTCAAAACTCTGAACACTATTACATTTAACACAACAATACTGACCCAGTATCTTTGTGTGCTAATCCTTTCTGTAATAGATAAAATTTAATTTGACAATGGATTCCAGATAAGTGTAGCCCAAGAACTACTATTTCTAAACTTATTTGTTGCTCAAGTATGTCTTAAAGTGTTTGGACACTGAGTTGTGGTGGTTTGAAAGAGAATGACTCCCATAGGTTCATGTATTTGAATACTTGGTCCCCATTGGTGGAAAGGTTAGGAAGTATTGCCTTTGAGGAGGAAGTGTGTCCCTGGGCATGGTCTTTGAGGATTCAAAAGACTTGCATCATTCCCAGTTAGTTCTCTGCCTTGGCTTGTGGGTCAAGACATGAGCTCTCAGCTATTGCTACAGTGCCATGCTGCCTGCTGCCTGCCCTGCTCCCTGCCGTGACAGTCATCAGCTCTAACTCTCTGAAAACTCTAAGTCCCCAACTATCTCTTTCTTCTATAAGTTGTTTTGGTCATGGTGTCTTATCCCAGTAATAGAAAAGTGACTAAGACAGGCCTCAATCACCTTCCTTCTTCATAGGACCGCATCACACCAGCTGCAGGTATTGGTTCACCTTGGGAAGGAAGGACAATCAAAATCAAACTATACAGTGTCTGATAAGAGGTTTTATACAGACCCTATCTGACAAAGCCAAGGGATGGGTGGGTGTGATCCAAGCAAAGGGGTTGAATAAACTCTGGAGAGTATGGAGGAAGAGATGCATTCATAATGGCCTCACAGTAGGAGCAAGGGTCCTTCACAAGCTACATCCACAGAGGATGTGAGAATGGAGCAGCAGGGAAATGCACTATCAACCCAGTGCTTAAACTTGGCCTGGGGTGGGGGAGAGATAGCATAAAAACATAAGGTACCTCTCCAGCATCTGTAAACATCCTTTGAGGATGAAGGACAGAGAGGAGGAATGATGGGAAAGACATTGAAGGAAACCCCATGACACATATGAAATCTACCTGGCCCTCAGTCTGCTTCTATCCTGTGTATATGCTCTCTAGTCCCCCTCTCCCTCTCCCTCTCTCTCCCTCCCTACCAACTTCATCAATTTACCTTTACATTATAGTCACTTCCTGCTATGAACTTCACTCTCCCCTAGTCTTAAATAAAAAGAAACTACAAAGTCGAAAGGGAATGTTCAAAGGAGGCAGGTTCACACTGCTCAGGTCTCTAGTTTAATAATCTTTTGCCAGTGTTGCACAATATTGCCATGTGGAGACAGTTTAAAACAAGAAAGCTTCTAGCAGTGAGAAAACTGATCTGCAATGTCTAAATAGGAGAGCAGCCTGAAGACCAAGGGCCTGCCCATGGCCATGTTCTCTAGTTCTGGGTCAGGCCAGAATCTACTTTTTCCAACTATTCAGTGCCTTTTATGCTGTCTCAACTGTGATTACTCCTGCTGAGGCTCTTCAAAGATCCACCTGTTTCTTACTTGGTGACAAGGAAGCCCTCCCCATGCCCAGTCCGTGTTCACCAGCCTCCAGGTCACTTACTGGATAATTCCTCCCTGTGTTTTGGAGTGAAGGACCTGAACAAGGCCCTGATCTCCTGCAGGTTTTTCTCATAAGCCAACATGCGGATGATCCTCTGGCCCAGAAACCCTCCTGCTCCTGTCACCAGGCAGCTCCACACAGGCATGGTCAACACAGAAAGCAGATCGCAGTGGCCTCAGGTGTGATGTAACGTCACCCTGAGGAGGGATAGAAAGAGAGGTGCAATGGGTACAGAGTCATGGGGTTCCTACTATGATGACATAGTAGAAAAAGATGTTCTAAAGATGGTTCTTTAACATTTCTCTCATAACATCGCTTCCATGATTCTAAAATATCTGGGTTTTCTTCAAAAAACAAGCAACAGTTCAGTTCTGCAGCAGACACCAGCTGTGCAACCTCTAAGTCCGGTCAGCTCTGACACTGAGACCCTGTCAGACCTCACATGACAGGCTGTGCCCCAAGGTTGTCCCTCTCACATGAGATGCCACTTCCAAGCCCCAGACTGTCTTACCTGTGCTTCTGAGAAAGCGTGCACACCCTGGGGTCCTACAACCCCTCACTGCATGTGGTTAGTTCCTGCAGCTCCTCTCGGAGTTCAGGGACTAAAGCTTTTATCCATTAGCTTCCTATGAAGGATACCCAAAGGGTATGGAGGAAGCAGAGCACAGGCTGAGGAATGAGAAAGGGGAACAAGGCTTCTACATTCTTGTTTGATATAGTAACCTCCAAAAATGTCTATCTATTCAGCTACCCAGGATCTTAGGAGGCTGGGACTTCTTGCATCAGTTGATAATCAAGACAATGCCCCTCAGGTCAATCTGATGTAGGCAATTCTTAAGTTGAGGTTTCTTCTTTTCAGATGACTCTAGGTTATGTTGTGTACAACCAAAGCTAATCAAACATGGCCAAAAGAGTATTTGCTCCATGTACTAGCTCTAATACTCCTTGTAATTATTTTTATAAACTTCTCTTTTCCCCAACTTCTTTGAGCAGCTTACAGTTAACTGCAGAGCATGCATATGTTCATCTGAAAGACATGACATTATTTATCGGAATAAGCAGCCTCTGATCATTTGTTTGCTGGTTAGTTTGTTTAGATAGACAGCTGTAGGTGAGCAAATTGCCTTATGGTAGAAACTCTCTAAGGCTTGTCCAATCTACAGCCCAAAGGCGCATGTAGCCAAGGATATCTATAAATGCAGCCCAACACAAAGTTGAGAATTTACTTGGAACATTATGGAAAGTTCATTCCATTTTTTACTCCATTTTGGAGTGACTGTGAACTTTGTTGGTGATCAAGTCTGGTTGCAATTTCCAAAGTTTGGACATATCTGCATGGAAAGGACTCACAGCTTTTCTATTGGTTAAGGTCCATACAGAGCCCAGTGTAGGTCCCACATGGGGCTATTTTTGCACAGTCTTTCTCTATAAACACAACATCATTTACTCTAGACACAGAGAACATATATGTTGTATTTGTTCACACTTTGAATGCCTACTACATATTATCTGAAAGTTGTGTAGACATGCATTGGTATACACTTAGGTTCTAGAATTAGATAGGTGGATATTCTCCAATTAGAGACATGGTCCCTTCTATAATACAGTTAAGTACAAGAGAGGCAATAATTATACAAGAAGCCCGTTGAAGGATGATTGTGAACTTTTAATCTTCATTCTACCAACCTTCACCTTCCCTACTAAAGCTTCCCTTGAGACTCTGTCTGTACCTTGGTTTGACAGTATCTTGTATGACATAGTATGCTCCAAGTTGACATGTACTCTTTCCATCTAATATGTAGGTACAGGAGACATAGCTTGCTTGTATGCAGTCTGTGTGAACATTTCAGTTTCCATAATTCTTTTTTAACATCTTTGTTTCTTCTGTTGAAAATAGATTTTTTTTCTCACAAAATATATCCTGATTATGGTTTCATCCTTTTACTCCTCCTGGCTTCTCCCACCTCCTCTACCCCCTGGATCCACCCCATTTCTGTCTCTTATTAGAAAGTAACCAGGCTTCTATAAGGTAATAATGATATAAAATAAAATATAATAAGATAAACCACAAACTAACACATCAAAATTGAATAAACAAACAAGAAATGAAAAGAGCCCAAGAGAAGGCACAAGAAACAGAAACTCATTAGTTTGCACATTCAGCAATCCCATAAAAAAAAACTCAGCTGGAAGCTATAATATATTTGTAAAGGACCTGATTTTATCAAACAAGTCTTTCACTTGTTTGGTTATCCCAAGATACAATAAATTATCTGAGGTTATTGTGAAGGGTATTGTTTCCCTGAATTCTTTCTCAGTGTATTTGCCATTTGTATGAAGGAGGGCTCTTGATTTATGTGAGTTAATTTGGTATCCTGCTACTTTGCTGAAGGTGTTTGTCAGCTGTAGGTGTTATCTGGTGGATTTTTATGATCATTTAAGACTATCCTATTATCTGCAAATAAAGATATTTTGACTTCTTCCTTTTCAAGATGTATTTCCTTCATCTTCATCAGTTGTGTTATTGCTCTAGTCAAGACTTCAAGTACTGTATTGAATAGTTATGGAAAGAGTGGACAACTTTGTCTTGTTCCTGATGTTAGTGGAAAAGCTTTGAGTTTCTCTTCATTTAAGTTGATGTTGGCTATCTGTTTCCTGTATAATGCCCTTATTGAGTTATGTATGTTCTTTTTATTCCTGATCTCTCCAGAACTTTTATCATGAAGGGCTGTTGGGTACTGTGAAAGGTGTTGTCTACATCTAATGGGATGATCCTGTGGTGTTTGACTTTCAGTTTGTTTATATGGTGGGTTACATTTATCAACTTAACTATGTTCATCCATCCCTGCATTTCTAGGCTGAAGCCTACTTGATCATGGTGGATGATCTTTTTGATGTGCTCCTGGATTCAGTTTGTAAGTATTTTATTCATAAGGGAAACTGTTCTGTAGCTATTTCTTTGTGGTTATTTATGTTGGTATTGGTAGCTATAGCCTTGAAAAACAAATTGGGCACTGTTCCTTCTGTTTCTATTTTGTAGAATAATTTGAGGAGTATAGGTTCATTGGTGTGTGGATTAATGTCAAGGTCTTCAATTCGATTCCATTGGTCCACGTGTTGGTTTTTATGCCAGTACTAAGCTGTTTTTTATTACTGTAGCTCTATAGTAGAGCTTGAAGTCAGGGATCATGATGCCTCCAGAGGTTGTTTTATTGTACAGGATTCTTTTGGCTATTCTGGGTTTTTTGTTTTCCCATATGAAATTGATTTTGTTCTTTCCAGGTCTGTGAAGAATTGTGTTGGTATTTTGATGGGGATTGCATTGAATCTGTGGATTTCTTTTGATAAGATTGCCATTTTTATTATGTTAATCCTACCTATCCATGAGCATGGGAGATCTTTCCATTTTCTGACATCTTCTTCAATTTCTTTCTTCAGGGACTTTAAGTTCCTGTCATACAGGTCCTTTACTTGTTTAGTTAGAATTACCCCAAGGTATTTTATATCATTTGTGGCTATTGTAAAGGGTGATGTATCTCTGATTTCTTTCTCAGCTAGTTTGTCGTTTGTATATAGGAGAGCTACTGATTTTTTTTGAATTGATCTTGTATCCTGCTATGTTGCTGAAGGCGTTTATAAGCTGAATGAGTTCCTTGGTCGAATATTTGGGTTCACTTATGTATACTATCATATCATCTGCAAATAGTGAAAGTTTCACTTCTTCCTTTACAATTTGTATTCCCTTAATCTCCTTATGTTGTCTTATTGCTCTGGCTAGAACTTCAAGTACTATATTGAATAAGTATGAGGAGAGCAGACAGCCTTGACTTGTTTCTGATTTTAGTGGAATTGCTTTGAGTTTCTCTTCATTTACTTTGATGTTTGCTGTAAATTGCCTTTATTATGTTTAGGTATGTTCCCTGTATTCCTGATCTCTCTAAGACCTTTATCATGAAGAGGTATCAGATTTTGTCAAAGGCCTTTTCAGCATCTAGTGAGATGATCACATGGTTTTTTCTTTCGGTTTGTTTATATGGTTTATTACATTGATGGACTTTTGTGTGTTGAACCACCGTTGCATCCCTGGGATGAAGCCTACTTGATCATGGTGGATAATTGTTTTGATGTGTTCTTGGAGTCTGTTTGCCAGTATTTTATTGAGTATTTTTGCATCAATGTTCATGAGGGAGATTGGTCTGTAATTCTCTTTCTTTGTTGCATCTTTGTGTGGTTTGGGTATCAGGGTAACTGTAGCCTCATAAAAAGAGTTTGGTAATGTTCCTTCTGTTTCTATTGTGTGAAACAATTTGAAGAGTATTGGTATTAGCTCTTCTTTGAAGATCTGGTAGAATTCTGCACTGAAACCATCTGGTCCTGGGCTTTTTTTGGTTGGGAGACTTTTAATGACTGCTTCTATTTCCTTAGGGGTTATTGGTCTATTTAAATAGTTTATCTGGTCTTGATTTAACTTAGGTATGTGGTACCTATCCAGAAAATTATCCATTTCTTTTAGATTTTCCAGTTTTGTGGAGTACAGGATTTTGAAGTATGACCTGATGGTTCTCTGGATTTCCTCAGTGTTAGTTGTTATGTCTTCCTTTTCATTTCTGATTTTGCTAATTTGGATGCGCTCTCTCTGCCTTTTGGTTAATTTGGATAAGGGCTTGTCTATCTTGTTGATTTTCTCAAAGAACCAACTCTTTGTTTCATTGATTCTTTGTATTGTTCTCTTTGTTTCTATTTATGGTTTTCAGCTCTCAATTTGATAATTTCCTGGTGACTATTCCTCATGGGTGACTTTGCTTCTTCTTGTTATAGGGCTTTCAGGTGTGCTGTTAAGTCACTAGTGTGAGATTTCTCCAACTTCTTTATATGGGCTTTTAGTGCTATGAATTTTCTCTTAACACTGCTTTCATAGCCTCCCATAAGTTTGGGTATGTGTTATATTCATTTTCATTGATCTCTAGGAAGTCTTTAATTTCTTTCTTATTTCTTCCTTGACCCATTGGTGATTCAGTTGAGCATTATTCAGTTTCCATGAAATTGTAGGCTTTCTGTAATTTTTGTTGTTATTGAAATCTAACCTTATACCATGGTGGTCTGATAGAACACATTAGGTTATTCCAATTGTTTTGTATCTGTTGA